GAATCCCTGGTCCTCGACTAAGGCCGCGTTAATGTCATAAAGTTTGGCGACGCACACGGCTGCGGTCTTGCGTACATACGGGTCCTCATCCTTCAGGCATTTGCGCAGCGGCTCGCACAGATACTCGGTTATCTTGTCGACACGTATACAGCCCATCGTGCGAACTGCCAGAGCGCGAATCAGCGGATTTGGGTCCTCGCAGTCCTGCGCAAAAATCGGGCAAGCCAGGGATTCAAGTCTAGTCACAGTAGTGGCTATCTATCTCAACCCATAAACTTTAACAAAGTAGAAAGTGGCATTGGTACCTTTGTCATCGGAGATGTCGCTAGCTCCTTTTGCGTGTCAGAACGAAAAAGGTCAAATTGGTCACCGTCACCATTTTTCATTAAGTGTTAAATACTATACTTATCAGCCATTTAAAGTAGTGTGTAATTGAGAACTGATCATTTTTTAAAGAGCACGAGGTATCATTCTTCGTTAGTTCTTTCTTTCTTTTTCTTTACAATCGTTGTGACATAATTTTGCGAATAAAGAATTAAGAATTGTGTTACACCAATATTAGCACCATGCAAATAAAGATAAACGGTATATTGTCCAACATATATATAGAAAAATATATTTACAAATATTTATATTAATTGCATTATGAGGTATTATTTGTAACACGAGAATTACATTCATCAGATACACTGAAATTTTATAAATATAAAATATATTATTAATTATATATATATATATATATATATATATATATATATATATATATATGATACAAAATGCGTGCATTAGTAAATATTATTTTTATATAAGCACTGATTTGTAATACACAAATACGTATAAAATAAACATTTAAGGAATCACAGTTTTCATGCTGCTGCACATTAGAAATTCACGAATAAAAAATTAATCAAGATTAACGTTTGAACTGTCATTCCTCGATTTGAGACGATATTGTAACTGCAATATAAGAATCAATTTAGTATATTTATATTGTAGAAAAAAAACAGCACTGTGAAGAATATTTGCTTCAAGTGTTTCGTATGTAGATGAAAAATTGTGTGACTTTTCAAAAAAAAAGTTACATGCTCAATTTCGAGAAACAAGACATATGTATCAGTGCATTAGCGTGAGAAGGAGATAACGAGATTTTAAATTACTTTATCAGTTTTGATAAACTAATCATGTATCATGGATATATAGGTAAATATAATGGTTTGCCTAACGAAGTACATTCTGGAATTTGGTTCTGTAACGACATTTGCAACGAAGTAATTTAATAGCCTCTTTTATTTCTAAAAAATATAGTATTGGAACAACCAAAATCCAAACCCGTGCCCTTTGAAAAATAAACAATTCAGTCTCAATGAAGGAAAAAGTTACATTCCGTCCCATAATGCAGACAGCTCTGTGCAAACTGTTATTTGCAAAGCACAGTCTGTATATAGTGCGAGGCACGCTGTAAAATGTAACACAGTCAGGATGATATCCGATAAAGGAGATTATATTTACAATCGGACAGTCGTTATCGGAAAAAAAAAATATATATATATAACGACGGATAATTTTCTAATTTGTCTCTCGTTACAGACAGATTCCGAACATCATCCAAGTGTCATTAAGAAATATGTAGAGGATAAAGGTGCGTTATATAGTAAAATTGTGATGACGAATTGAATGATGAGTTTCTAAGCTACGTTACCTTGACGAACGTGTTGACTGCCATGATAGCCATGTCCGGTTGGCTCTTAGCGTAGTTCATCAGGTACAGGTATACCAGCTTTTTCAGTTCCAGATTGTCGGTCTGCATGCAATTCACCACATCAGGAAATAGTGCAGACACATCTTTTCCTACTGTCATGGAAGCAATGACCTGGGCAAACAAATGGATATCTTTGTATTATTAAACAGTGCAATGTATCATAATATAGGTGACACTGTGAATGTAACATTCTTAACAAATACATATCTATTACATTTTCATTACTATTAAAATTAATTAATCTTACAATCCCCCCATGAGGCATTTAACTGCTATACTATACATGTTTTTACATTACATAGGTATTATTTATTATTAAAATAATTTTTATTCTATATTGATTATATACTTCACTAGTGTAAGAAGCATAGTGTTGCAATCATAGACAAGTACAACTTGCTAGACTACATGCTGATGCATTACTTTTTTAATACGTTTTTACAAATTAACACACAACAAATGTTTTTCATATGCAAACATATAGATAACATTCTTAATATATTAATAAGTTTAGAATGATATCACTGGTGTATCAGAGGATTATAAAATAATTATAAAATAAAATATAATTATAAGACAAGAAGAATATTATTGGTACAAGAAATATTTTTGTAGAGAGAAATCACTGGAATTATCAATACTTTAGTTCCTTCACCTTAGGGATTTTGCAACTTACCTCATTATCCAAATATATTACCTTTTATACAAGTGTTCTGCATGAAAACGCTTACTGTTTGCATAATATTATAGTATTACTAGCAAGACTGAATTTTTTTGAAAACAAAAAAAAATACAGTAACGAATTTTTTTCATTTACCTTCTTCACAGCTTCCTTTTTCTTTTCTTTCTTCTCATTGTTCAGTTCTGACTTGAGCTCAAATATCTCTCCCTTCTTCGTAGTGGTAAAATACTTTGAATCTGTCATCTTGTCTATAGAGCACATGTAACAAATATAATTAATATAAATTTGTAATCTCAAAGAATATAACTATAATGTGTGTCACTTGTCAAATATACATAAAATACAATAAAACTCTTATCTATTTTTTATCAATTCAACAATAAACAACTTCTTATATCATTTATATAATAATAAAAAAAGAATAATTATTTTATCATTAATAATACACAAATCTTGTTTTAAGAAATTAAGTGTTGTTAATTTACCTCAAAACGTAATTATAATTTAATAACACCAAACGGACACTAATAAGATCAAAGTTGAGAGAGTGACGTGTGTATATAGAAATGTCAAAAATTCTCGCCAGCCGAAAAATCTATGGAGAGACAGCAATAGACTTCTATACACTGGAAAAAGAGAGAGAGAAAGAGAAAGAGAGGAGAAACGAGAGAGAGAGAGAGAGAGAGAGAGAGAGAGAGAGAGAGAGAGAGAGAGAGAGAGAAGAAATTAAATAAGATTTCACTATATAGCGAACTCGGGACTGGATCAATGTCCAGAATCTATGGTGCCATAGCGCTAACTCCCCCGCCAACGAATCGAGCTGTCATTTAGCGACGAGCACTGGTCGAGAACCGAGGCGGGGGATACCTCAGGGAAATAGATTATCGCCGAGCGATAAGCGAGTGGCGTGCGCGCGCACGTCATAATAGAATGGAATAAAAAGAAACATTACGTAGAATCTCGAACGGTTGCATCTGAAGCGGGGCCGCCGTTGCAGCTGCTCTCGCGTCTTGCCTCATTAATTACCTGTCTATTTAACAGCTACTGACAGCGGCGGGGAGAAGGGGCGAGAACGGTCGAGAACGAATCGTTTTATCCGCGAACTAAGACGGATGACACCGTTCGCCCCCCGGGCAACTTTGCGCTTCTGCTACGTACAATACCGGGGACACCTTCGTGACACTTCGCTGGTTTGCTACAGTTTGCTACAGCACGATTATCAGGGGCCACACAGGCCTCGCGCACATGTAGGAGAGAGGAGAGGCCGCCGCCTCCAGTTATCGATAAGCGACTTGGTTCTGATTGGCCGTCCCAGCTCGTGGAATGCACGTGTGCGCTCGGCATTAAATTCGTTATCTCAAATCAGTGCTCAGAGCTGAGAGTCAATTTAGATTATTATTAATTTAATAAAAGGTTAATTTAATCGACAAAATTACTTAAAGCTAAATAAATACGGCTGATTAAAAGTAAATTCTCACTTCTCTTAATATAAGTAGGCTCGGAAATAATTGAAAAAATGATGACATTACCGATCGATATGGCTGTCGCCTGTCATCGTTCTTCAATTATCTCAGAGTTCATTTGACAGTTACATGAAAAACTCTTTTAGCTGGCTATCTTTAGGGCGGATTCACACTCTTGACGCAAAAGCGGAAAGCAGAAGAGCAGTAGCCAATCAGAATTCGCTCTGATAGTCGACTTTAGGTTGGATTATACTGGCCGTAATCTGTTAACTTATGCTGTAATCTGTAAAAATTGACCAATTATAATCGATTATTCCCCTCTCATTCGACTGTGATTGGTCAATTTTTACAGATTACGGCATAAGTTAACAGTTTACGGCCAGTATAAATCAACCTTTACTGTTCCGTTCCGTTATTTCTGACTCCATGTGACTAGAGACCTAGAAAACAGAGATGCGTCATTGAAGGGTATAATATCGGACTTAACCTAACCTAATCTTTCTACCTTTTGCATCAACTGTCATCAGCTTATTGGTCAAGAGCACTTATATTGAATTAAAATGGCGGTGGTTACCTAACCCAACCGACGCAATGTCGCATCTCTGTTTTCTAATTATGCAAAAGTCTGTGTTGGGGCTTTATAATATCGGACTTAACCTAACCTAATCTTTCTACCTTTTGCATCAACTGTCATCAGCTTATTGGTCAAGAGCACTTATATTGAATTAAAATGGCGGTGGTTACCTAACCCAACCGACGCAATGTCGCATCTCTGTTTTCTAGGCCTCTACATGTGACTTCACCCTAAGGACATGGTATAAAGCTGCGTTCGGCAATGCAAATCCGAGGCGTCGGAGTGCTCTTTTTCTATAGTGCACGTGACATATACTATAATATAAGAGCACTCCGACGCCTCAGATTTGCTATTACCGAACGCAGCTATAGAAGGTGAACCATTCCGGTGGATGCGCAGTGGATTGAGAGGAGCGGGGGTATGTCAGCCAATCGGAGTTTGGGCAATTTGTCTGATTCAAAACGGAGCAGTCAGTCGCATCGTCGCATAACATGAACATTGATGCACAGTCAAGATATTTTGTGTTTTTATATGACAATTTCGATTGCATTATGCCGACGTGCTGTGTGATCAATTGTAAAAATAAGAGTGGTCGCGGCAAAGAGAAAATAAATATGTTTTCTTTCCCCCAAAAGCCGGAACTGAGGAAGCAGTGGCTGGAAGCCTGTAAACAAACACATACTTCAAAACAATGTGAGTATTATCGACTATAAAAAACATTATATTTCCTAAATTTTTTATTCTAATGAAGATCATTGTATTTAAAAAAAATTTAAATCTTATAATTTATTTAACAATCTGAAACATTACCTTCTTAATCCTACTTTAATTCGTTATATCTTGTAATAGTCGAAAATAATTAATATTTGATTCTTTCGAAATTTTATTGTGATGTTTTTAAATATTAATTGTTTTCAACTAATGCAAGATATTTTATTTCGTTTTTTGTTGTTATATATGTGTTTGTTTTATTGTTATTTATTTCGTCATTACATACTAACAAACCATATTTTTAGATGTTATTTGTCAACGACACTTTTTGCCTGAGTGCATCGAAGAAAAGATGACCCAACAGCATTCCGGCAGACAACTAAGATTGATGCGTCGTGTTAAAAGAAACGCAGTTCCAACTGAGTTTTTGGATCTCCCAAAAGAAAGAAAACGTAGTCGTCAGAAGGAAAAAGAAAACCAGTTGAGTATAGGGTAAGTTAAACGTTTCTTATCGAGTTAAAGTTTTGATCAATTAATTATTTATCATAGTTCAAGACATTTTTTTTCAAAAAATTTTAATTTATGAAAAATCATCTTTTGGTCACATATTTAAGACGGATATAATGTATCGATTACCATTACAAAAATGTTAATTTATTTGTAAATGGTTGTACCCTCGATTGTCGTTCAATGATCGATCATTGATCTATCGTAACTTCAACTGGATCCTTCCTTTGTACTCCACGTAATGTTATACCATGTTTAAAATCTACAGGCCTATTTTAACTGAATTTATAAGTTATTACAGTGACATTCAAATATTTGTTTATTCTTACAGCAATGCTCCAATGCCATCGTACAATGATCTCCTGTCTTATGCGAAGAGATTTGCGGGAACAGAAAGCGCAAAGCAAGAAGAGCCGATGATGAATGAGCATAATCAGTCATTGGAATGTGCAGAAACAGGACCATTGTATGTATCTATATTTGTTATAAATGTAAATGCATCTTCTCTTATGTATGTCAATACTAATTTGTCCTTAAATATTCAATAACATTAAATAATTCTAAAAAGTAAAACATCATTACATACAAAAACAGTTGTAAATATATTAAATTGTATGTACTTTGCATTAATTTTATACTATCAATCAATAGGTATATTTATTGTATTGTTTATAGATCTGAACAAACAAATAATAATGTAATAGCTATGCTTCTGCATCGATTGGAAACCCTCGAAGAAGAAAAAAAACAGGCCGATTTGAAAATAGCTCAATTCAGCGAAGAAATTGTACAGCTAAAAAAGAACTTCAAAGAAATGCTTACAAATAATGCAAAGATTATTGCAAATCTGTCCGAAAAAAATAAGGAACTGCATAAAAATTTGGCCGAAACACGTAAAACAGATTCCGAGATTGCGAGTGATACACTTCGCATAGTTTTTACTCCTGGACAAATACGAAAACTTACATCTTCAAAGAACAAGCGCGCATAAGGTGGTCAGCTGAAGACATATCTTCAGCAATCGCTCTCCGATGCCTTAGCAGTAGGGCGTACAATTACCTAAGAGAAGCAAAGAATTTTCCCTTACCTTGCGTTCAAACGCTGAGAAACTGGACTGCGAAATTTAGTGTTCAATCAGGCATTTTAAAAGATGTCTTGAAAATAATGGATAAAAAAAGCTCATCAGTTATCGAAGCTAGAAAAGCTAATTGTATTGTGTTTTGATGAGCTGTATATTTCTAATAAAATGGATTTGGAACGTCGGCAGCAGAAAATATATGGACCGTATAAGACAAGCCAGTTCATAATGACACGCAGCTTATTTGGTAATTGGAAGCAGCCCATATTCTATGATTTTGACAAACCGATGACAAAAGAAATATTAATAGAAGTTATAACGCGTTTAGACCAAATAGGGTACACCGTTGTAGCAGTCACGAGTGACTTGGGACCAACCAACGCAAGGTTGTGGAAAAATATGAATATAGGAGTAGTGCTTCCAATAAATGCGCAAAAAAATCTCACAGATTCAATGGAAGAATCGGCTGATAAAAGATGCTTCTACATCCATGTGATGCAAATAAAAAAGTGTTTGTATTTGCCGACATGTGTCACTTAATTAAACTAGCCAGGAATCATTTGTTCGATTCCGGATTTATTTTAGATGACCAACTAATAAACAAAGATATTTTCGAAGAGTTACTTACGCTTAATTACAATGAGCTGAAGATAGCCTTCAATCTTACAAGGCTTCATTTAGATGTGAAAGGGAACAAAAGACAATCAGTCAAATTAGCTGCGCAAGTCTTCTCCAATAGGAATGCAAAGGCAATTGAATTTTGTGGTAAAAGAGGATTTATCAAGAACAAGAAATGGCAACTTATATCAAACGTCATAAGCCTTTTCAACCAATGGTTCGATATAATGAATAGCCATGGAAAATTCGAAAAGCACAGTGATTCACGTGCATACGGCGTAGAATTAGAAAAACAAAACACAGTTCTCGATAAAATGGATGATGTTATTACGAAAATGCGCTGTCCAAAAAGAAAGGCATTGCTACCTTTTCAAAAGGGTATCCTATTATGTAACCAGTCCCTTAGGCAATTGCTGCAATATTTAAAGGAGACGTATTCGACGGACGAATTAAGTATTGATTATATCATTACTAGGCGTTTGAGTCAAGACTTGTTGGAAAACTTTTTTTCTTACATTCGGGCCATGGGATCAGCACACAACGATCATCCTTCTCCGGTAGAATTGCAGAACCGCGTCAAATGGTATATACTTGGGAAACATTCCTCGTGCGTATTGTCAAAGAACAGTAATATCGAAAATAAAACAACTTCGACTTCTTTACTGGATGTAGAAGATGTGCACGAAGATGCCTACGAAAATGACATATTTGATTTCGAAGATCTAGAGCTCGCAAAAGAAGCAAAAATGTTGATGGAAATTGAAATGGACACTTGCACGATTGACAACGATGAGGAATGTGAGGAATTTAACGAAGGAGGTAGTACATTTGTTAATATAAAACTGTTACTTTTGAATTCATGTACATATTAATTATACACTTCCTTCTTCGGTACAATATACAACGTAGAGTATTAATTAATTGTAAGAGTGTAACTACAATAAAAAGAATTGTATATTATTGTATTACCCATATTATCTAGATATTATTATTATAGATACTATAATAGTAAAATTATTATTATACAGGAAGGGGCATTTAAAACAGGTCACCTGAATAACTCGCTTGTTTTTGACAATAGAAGAAAAAGTGTCAAACAAAAGTTGCTTGGTTTCGAGGGGCACATAATATGATGTCAATAATTGTTTTTTTGGTGGAGGCGCTAAAAAGATATGAAGGTCACCTCCACTTTTTTAAATGGAATTATGTAATTTTTTTTAGATAACGTGATTCCTCTAATTATTTTGCATATAAAAGTATTCAGGTAGAGATACCAAAAAACTAATAGTTTTTGAGATATTTTACACTTTATTTTGATACATACTAACACAAAATGTTTTAACTCGTAAACTGTTGACCTTTTGATTATCGTACCTTAATACTTTTGTGAACAGAATAATGAGATAAATTAAATGGTGTAAAGGAAACACATAGTTGCTTTAAAAAAAATATGTATACAAAATGGATAATTTTTTAAATACGCGTTCCAAAATTCGATTCTGTCAACTGAGTATCTTTCATCCTTGTTGTTTGCCAAATGTTGAACAAAGATAAAACATATTCGGAGTTGACAGAGTCGAATTTCGGAACGCAACCCAGGGGCTCTATTCTTGAAAAGAAACGTATACGAAAGTCTAGGGAAATGCTATAGTATATGTTACGTATACTATAGTATTTTCCTAATTTTTCGTATACGTTTCTTTTCAAGAATAGACCCCCTAAACGTGACCAATGCGAAGCAAAATCCTGTTTTCTGATTGGTTGCAGATTTGCCGTACGACGAAAATCGGATGCAGTGTGAATCCAGCATAAAGGAGCCATGCTTTTACGCAAAAGCATGAAGGAAGATATAAGGAGACTCCACTCAGTCTCGCCAGTCTACAAAACATGGACCCATTTTAGGTTTCGAGTTCAGTTTCCGATTCTCAACACTCGCAGCGCTCGTGAATTTAGTAGTGCTGTGCATAATAAGTGCGAGTAAGAGAAATGATCAGAATTGGAAACTGAACTCGAAACCTAAAATGGGTCCACTTTTATTTTACGGAGTGGAGTCTCCTTATATCTTACTTCCTGCGCAAAAGCATGGCCCTCAGTGGGCACGTCAGTGGACTCAACAGTTGAGTGAGCGCTCTCTGTTATTGGTGTATTCTTCTAGATCTAAAATTCTGATTAGATGATCTAAAAAAATACACCAATAACAGAGAGCGCTCACTCAACTGTTGAGTCCGCTGAACGCGCCCATTGGCTATTGCTCGCCGCTTCACCGCTGCGCCGCTCTGGTCTGTAGGCCCTTAAAGGGCGACTGTTACCAACGCCGATTAAACGCCGATTAACTTAATCAATGATTAGTCCATTGGAATTGTCCAATCGCGTCTGTCGTCAAAACTAAATGGTAAAATGCAATTGGTCAATTCCAATCGACTAATCGTCGATTAAGTTAATCGGCGTTGGTAACAGTCGCCCAGTCCACCAATTCAACGAATCACAACGTGCAATCACGCCTTCGGTATTGCACTTTTCTTCATGTTCGTTAATCTAAGAACATAAGAAAAAAATTGAACCTCAATTCGTATGCGGATACTGTGATCGTATGTCGGCGTGTGTCTGATCTGTGTTTTCAGGAAAACGTAAACAAACGTACGAGGAGAAAAGGTTTATGAGAGCGAGCGAATGAATTATTTCTATTGTCAGGTACGACAGAAAGAACTTATAAGGTTCGAGATTGCTTGAAAGTGGTTATTTCAATAATGCCTGTAGCGTTGTCGACATTGTTCATTTTATATCGGCGGCAATAAATATTTTATCGCTGTGCTAATTTTCATAAATTCGACATTTAAAGTATTAAGAGGAAAATAGAATCTAGATAAATTTCATGATTGAATTATGTTAGTAGAAGCTTCGTGTTTCGTAGATTTACTGATTATTATATCTATAATAAATGTAATATAAGTCTTTAGCTTTTTGCTCTAAACTCTAAACTTTGACTTCTTTTTTTAGAAAAATCATTGCCTTGAAACATAATCTTAAGTTTTAAGCAAACTTAGAGCATAGTTTTACAGTTTAGATTTTGGAACAAGTTATTGTCACAGTCTAGAGCTCAGAATTTAAGGTTACATTTATTATAGATTAGGTTTTATTCATCAAGTGCATTTTTTATTTAGATAATTATAGAGTAATAAATATGCCTATTTGATCTATGGTTTTTCTAATTGCAGTGAAACTAACTTTCAAAATGGCATTACGTACCTATGGAGATAAACCTATAAGTTTTCAAGTAGAGGAAAATGGAGAATATTACTGTATTGGATCAGAAGTTGGCAATTATCTGCGTCTCTTTCGCGGGTCTTTGTATAAAAGATACCCTGGCATGTTCAGGAGATCTATAACCAATGATGAACGTAAGAAATTAGTAGAACTTGGTCTGAGTCAGCACGTTCTTGCATCTAGTGTTTCGCTATTACGAGCTAGTGAGGTGGAAGATATTATTGAGGGCAACGATGATAAATATAAAGCCGTGTCAGTGCATTCAACTGAACCACCAGCACCTAGAGAAGGTAAATCCAAGAAGTCGATGGCTTGGGTACCTAGTCTACCGAACAGTTCACATCTAGATGCAGTTCCTCAAGCTACACCAATAAATCGAAACAGAGTGCACAATAAAAAAGTTAGGACGTTTCCATTATGGTAAGCAAAAAAGTACTTTGAAAATTTTATATGAAATTCTGTTGTGTAATAAAATTATGACTTATTTTATTTCCAATATAGCTTCGATGATACAGATCCATCGGCAAACTTGGAGAATGCAGCACAACAGGAAATGCTGGTTCCAATACGTTTAGATATGGAAATTGAGGGCCAAAAATTAAGAGACACTTTTACTTGGAATAAAAATGGTATGTAATTTTGATATCCAATATCAAGGATTTTAATAAATTACAACAATTTAATGTATCTAATATCTTTGACAGAAAGTCTTATAACACCTGAACAGTTTGCTGAAGTACTATGTGACGATTTAGACTTAAATCCATTAACCTTTGTTCCTGCAATCGCACAGGCGATAAGACAGCAAATAGAAGCATTCCCTCAAGAAACAATTTTAGAAGATCAATGTGATCAGAGAGTGATAATTAAATTAAATATACACGTGGGTAATACTTCTCTAGTAGATCAAGTAGAATGGGATATGTCTGAAAAGGAGAATAATCCAGAGAAGTTTGCAATGAAGCTTTGTGCGGAACTTGGCCTCGGCGGCGAATTTGTTACTGCTATTGCATATAGGTAAAATACTCTTCTTATTTTACAATTGCATAATTGTGCTCTTGCTTCATGTAAAATAATATCATTTTTGTTATCAAAATTATTACATTAGAGTTCATTATAATAATAAAGTTGATAATTTAAATATCACAATATTAATTATTTTGGATACTAAAAATATGAGTATTATTTGATAATGAAAAATTATATAATAAATAAATAGAATAAACGAAGAAAGAATTACCGCCTATAACGTTCAAAGGTGGATCAAAGAGCTTATTATAATTATGCGTGAATTTTTATATACTACATATGTAGTCCTCCCATAATTGCACGCTGATAACATTCAGACAACGCATAATTACTACAGTAGTAATATCACCAATTTTTACTTAATTAATTACAATTAAATATGAAGATGATAAATTAAAATTCCGTAAATAGTTAGATCTTTAATTTATTCTTGATATTACGAAAAGTATCACATAGTTTTGGCGTTTCGTCCCGGCTTCCATTACTGGACTCATCAGTAAGGTATTGTAATGAAAGCTTACCTTATACGCCTGTGTTAGATGTTAAGTTGAAATACTATATGAAGAAATATACGCGTGTCAAAGCACTTACGAGAATTTGAGAATATCTATAGATCTCTGATGGCGGGTCGACGTAGTGATATTTTTCGCAATATTTATTTTAAGTAGGAATAGCGTCTTTTACGGCTGACGCGTAATAATAAATATTAAATAATTAATTAAAAATTGGTGATATTACTACTGTAGTAATTATGTGTTATGTCTGAATGTTATCAGCGCGCAATTATGGGGGGACTACATATGTAGTATATAAAAATTCACGCATAATTATAATAAGCACTTTGATCCAGCTTTGACCGTTATAAGCGGTAATTCTTTCCTCGTTTGTTTGACAATACGGTCGTTACAAAATTATTTAATATTTATAAATAGAATAAATTAATAAATATTAAATTGGTGATATATATTGAATTGATATTGATTATTACTCAAGTAATATGGCGATTAAAGAGTCAGTAAGAATTTTCGTTTCACAATAAAATATATAATCAGTCATCAATAAAATTAATTCTAACAATATTCGATATTAATCGTCTAAACAACCATGATAATATAGTAAAAATATTAATATAAAAAAATATAAAGAACGTTACAGTTTCGGCTCTCGGATTGAGCCCTCTTCAGACATGAAAATTCGGAGGATAAAATCAATCGCTAAAAAATCGTTCAAGCCGTTTCCATTTCTGATCCTGTGAGTCCTCATTGAAAAAATCGACATTAAAGTTGCACACGATTGAAAAGTCGTATGCATGACAATATTTCAATAAAATTAAACAAATTAAATCCGCGATAATGTTATTTAGGTGTGTAGGCGTGGTTACAATAATATACGTTAATCAAATGCAATAAAAACCAAACAATTGAAAAGAACTCTTTGCAACAATTATGGACATTGTGTAAGAACGATTTATAACGTTGAAGAAACGATGTAGACTGAGCAAGACAGGTCCATAATTGTTGCAAAGAGTTCTTTTCAATTGTTTGGTTTTTATTGCATTTGATTAACGTATATTATTGTAACCACGCCTACACACCTAAATAACATTATCGCGGATTTAATTTGTTTAATTTTATTGAAATATTGTCATGCATACGACTTTTCAATCGTGTGCAACTTTAATGTCGATTTTTTCAATGAGGACTCACAGGATCAGAAATGGAAACGGCTTGAACGATTTTTTAGCGATTGATTTTATCCTCCGAATTTTCATGTCTGAAGAGGGCTCAATCCGAGAGCCGAAACTGTAACGTTCTTTATATTTTTTTATATTAATATTTTTACTGTATTATCATGGTTGTTTAGACGATTAATATCGAATATTATTAGAATTAATTTTATTGATAATGACTGATTATATATTTTATTGTGAAACGAAAATTCTTACTGACTCTTTAATCGCCCTTGACACTATTTTGTTATTTTTATACAGCGAGTCCTTGTTTCTTTTTTATTAATTTGTTAAGTAATATGATTATATTTATTGATAGTGTACGTGGCCAATTATCGTGGCATCAAAGAACGTATGCATTTTCTGAAGCACCTCTACCAACTGTAGAAGTTCCCTTTAGACCTCCATCAGAGGCTGATCAATGGGCACCATTTTTAGAAACCTTAACAGACGCAGAGATGGAAAAGAAGATACGCGATCAAGATCGAAATACTCGGTAAGACATGAATTTTGTAGAAATACACATTAAGTTTATCGCGGAGTTGCAGACATTTGATTGATCGTTCATTTTCTTTTTTTATTTCAGACGTATGCGACGTTTAGCAAACACAACGCCTGGTTGGTAGAAAAAGCACATCTAGAAAAAGAACACACTTCATACCCACATCTACATTCTTCAACCAATTCTATCATCCTAATTTTTAGTATGCCCTAGGCCGGAATCAGACTATTGAAGATAGAGATTGAAAATTAAAAATTGAAATTTTACTAATGGGAACAAAGAAATTTTGGTTTTTTTTTGTTTTGTCAAATTTAAATTCTTTAATCTTCAGTCTCAATTTTCATTACGTTGTCTAATGCCGGCCTTATATAAGATTTATAAGTGCTATATATATAATTTTTATTAAGACATCGTAAAATATAAAATGTGCGGAGGTAACTATTTGTAAAAATAACGAATACATGGTTGCGTTTATTTAGAGGAAGAATATACAATAACTGTATAATCAAACATCATTATGGAACATTCTTATATATAGGATATTCCAGTTCTAACGAGTCATTCTTTAATTTAGAATCTACTTTTTTTCCATTTTTATATAATTAAACAATTTTTTTGTAACTTAATTTATTATAACAGTCAATTTGTATCATTGTATGAAAGGAAATTTTTATATTGTACGTGCATATAGTGTGATTGAAAACGTACGTACATATCATATAACACCTCAATCGAAGTGTGATGATGGCTGACTGTGATGCAACCTGAACAGTAAGAAATTAAAATTGTTTTAAGAAAATTATACACTATATCAAATATATCTTTAATATTTTATTTGAAATCTGTCAGAATATATATTACAAAATCTATTATATTGTTGCAATTATCTGTTTTAGTCAGCAGTGTCGACGAGATAACAGATCACGTGATTATACTTATTTATGATAAATGATTATCACAAAGCACATGTCCCAGGAATTATTTTGGCATCTTGTTACTCATGCGAATTAACATCTCATTATATTGTCTGAATGGATTGAATACAAAAGGAAATCTTAAAGCAAAAGACAGAGTTACGCTTCGAGATTTATGATCGTGGGCGAATGTATTGCAATGTAAATTAGTTGCTTTACTTTAACATTATTATATCTCTTTTTCTACTTGTGTATAAAATGTAAACGTAATACAATGCTCTACTCTTTGAAGAATTTAGATGAAGGTAATCGATTTCATGACGAAGCATTCCTGTATTTAGCTCTGGACTATGAACTCGTCGATAGTAGAACTGCAACAGGTCTAATTGGTGCCTTCGTCAAGATGTTTTTTTGTGGCAATTCCAACTTTTACTTGCTTTCTTATTTTTAAAATATAATTTAACACCTCATTCTTTTTCCACAAAGATACATACTTGATTAAATGAAGCGTTTTAACAATTATTTTAAAGCAGGCTGATCGTTGTATTGACAAAAATAATTTTTTTTTTTTAAGTTCTGTTACGATCTTGTGATAATCTCTGTGTGTGTATACACACAGAGTGGGGCATTTAAAACATGTTACCTGAATAACTCGCTTGTTTTTAACAATAGAAAGAAAAGTGTCAAACAAAAGTTACTTGGTTTTGAGGGGCACATAACGTGATGTCAATAATTGTTTTGTAGGTGGAAGCGTAAAGGATAGGCAAAGGTGTTTTTTTTATTTACAGTCTGATAGAGCATTTTAAGACAAATGCAGTGACCTATAATTAAAGGTCATTCAAGATAACGCAAGGTTAATAATGGAAAATAATTGAATAGAAAATAAATTGTTTCAAAGTACTCTTAGAATAATTTCGTGTCTTTTTTGCTTGTTGGTATACCGCTAATCGTTCACGTGTATCACGGTATGTAAATAAACATTGAATCGCACATAGCATTATCTAAATATACTGATCAGTTTGAATTTACATATCTATCGATCGAAGTGCGTGACTTGCAAAATATAGATCATCATAGATGAAAATCATATGGACTTTTTCGGTTTTCGCAGGACGTGCACTTCGATCAATAGATAAATTTAAACTGATCAGTAAATATGGATAATGCTATGTACGATTTAATGTTTATTTACATACCATGATACCAACAAGCAGAGAAGACACGAAATTCAAAGAGGACTTTGAAACAATTTATTTTCCATGTAATTATTGACCTAGTGTAACCATGAATGACCTTCAATTATAGGTCACTGCATTTGAGTTAAAATACTCTATCAGATTGTAAATAAAAAAACATTATTCCATTAACAAAAACACCTTTGCCTATTCTTTACGCCTCCGCCTACGAAACAATTATTGACATCACGTTATGTGGCCCTTGAAACCAAGCAACTTTTGTTTGACACTTTTCCTTCTATTGTTAAAAACAAGCGAGTTATTCAGGTAACCTGTTTTAAATGCCTCACCCTGTAATATGCGCACACACACATACACATGATTTTTATTTAAAAAAAATAGATGTCATTACAATTCCTCGCAACTTTTATTTGAGATATTCTTTAGATCCAAATTTTCGGAGTTATTGCGATTCTTTCGAAGAAATATATGTATATAGATTATATAATATTGTGAAAGACTAAGACAATATTAACGTATAACAATCTATGGCATTATATATATGGACTACAGAGAGAAACTAGATTAGTCTCTGAATTCTCATGAAAAATATTGACATTTATCAAGTAATCTGAGGTCTGTTCTTTATATTTTTTATACTTTTCTTCATGCTTTTTCTTTTTCAAGCATAAATATTTATTTTATCTTATTTTAAGAACAGAGAGAAAAAGAGAAGGGAGACGAAGAAAAGAGTGCAGGCAAGCGCAGTTAATTCAACAGAACCCTTCAGTCTCTAGTGCCACCCCGTATGTATGTGCATATCATGATCCATATGTAACGAGCGGAACGAGCCTCGACAAAGTAAATTAAGTAAGGCAAAGCAAGATAAGATGAAGCAACGTCAAATGAGGCAACGTCGTCCGTCGTTTGCGGAAGGGGAAAAATATGGGGGAAACCGGTGCGTTACGCGTTCATCGCACACATGAGTGTCAATCGACGACAGTCCAGCTTCGGCAGTGTCTAGCGGTGTAGGTGGATGAGCGGCGGCAGCGCTTGGAGCACGTTCACAGTTTTGGTGCGCCAAGCATGGATCTGACAAGACAGCAACAACAGCGATCGCTGGCGAGCGCGTGTCGCGGCCCGTCGCCGTTTCCACGCAGACCATGGATGAGTGAGACTGGCGTCGCCGCCGCCGCCGCTGCCTCCGGCAACCTGGGCCTCAAAGGGGTCATAGCCGGTATGTTACTCCTTTCCTTCCCACCCTTCTCTCTCCCTTTGAAAAGAAGAAAAAAAGAGAGAGAGAGACAGAGAGAGAATGTTCCCTCTCACTCGCGCGATCGCTCATGACCTGCCGACCTTTGACACCTGTCTGGGTGCATCATGTCACGCGGAAACATGCACCATGAGAGTCTTTTTTTCTCTCTTTCTCTCTCTCTCTTTTTTGAAGTCAGTGCACTCTGGCAAATCGTACGATAATATGAAAGATCGCGCGATCGCGATCTCACACGATTGCATGCGTATGTGTGTGGCTATATCTACGTTCCTTGCAAGGTCATCATGTTTATCGGAATTTCCATAGTAATGGAGACTCCGAATTACGGTCATTTACGCGATGCTTTTTAACTCCAAGTAAACTATTTAGGAAATTGACGACTGTACAGGCGTATCAGTATAGAATTTAATTAAGAAAAAAAGGATTTATTTAATTAGAAAATAAAGATGCAAATTATGTTGTGATAGCAATCATATTTTTACACTTAATTTTAATTTCATTAAAATTCATAAACGTTTACTTTTTAATTGCATTTTAATTTTGTGGACTATTTAAAGTCAGTCTCCTTTTCAACAAGTCTTCATCAACAATTATTAATAACTATTCAATACACATACATACGAACATTTATATATATTTATATGTGTATATTTCTATTTATAAATATTTGATATAATTAACTTCCAGGTGGTATTACTGGGGGTATAGAAATTTGTATCACATATCCCACTGAATACGTTAAAACGCAGTTGCAATTGGATGGAAAAGCCGGTGCTGGTAAAGAATATGCAGGAATAGCTGACTGTGTCACCAAGACCATCAAGACTCGCGGATTCTTTGGTTTATACAGAGGCTTGTCTGTTCTGCTTTATGGTTCTATACCAAAGTCGGCAGTGCGATTTGGCGCTTTTGAATCGGTGAAGAAGCAGTTGGTGGATGCGGATGGAAAGCTCAATCCGCAAAGGAGGCTCTTCGCCGGCCTTTGCGCTGGTGTGTGCGAAGCTATTTTTGCGGTTACTCCGATGGAAACAATTAAGGTGAAATTCATCAATGATCAACGTTCGGCGAATCCAAGATTTAGAGGATTTTTTCATGGAGTTCGCATGATTGTAAAAGAACACGGTAAGGGAGTTTAAGTATAAAAAAAGTTCTAATTCCTTAAGCTTTAATAATACCATGTATTTTTATTTCATTTCTTATTAATTAATATTTTTGTTAATAAAAAATGAAATACATTTAAATTGTAATTAAATTGTAATGTGAAAAGAAAAGAAAAATAGAATGTGCTATATAGGTAATTGAAATAAATACAATTTAATCGTGAAATTCAGTTATAACTTGTTTGATTGGATCAGATAGATTACAGCATGTATTTAAACATACAGCTGATTTTACAGTATGTAGTTATGTACATACATTAAGAAAAAATCATGAATTTGTTTGCATATTAAATGATGATTGTATGGCACATAAATAAATAAAAAAAAATATATAAAATTAATACATAACATTAATAGAAAATTAGACTTTAAAATATTGTATACGTATTATAGTAGATAATAGTAATTAGAGCTTAGACAAACAAACGACTTTGTGACGCGATAAACAAGTGTTAACTTATTCACACGCATACTTTATGCTTGTGTATGAATAGATTGACGTTTGTTTACGCGTCACAAAGTCGTTTATCTGTCTGAACCGTTATGTATAAAGACATTTTCTTGTGTCTTTAAATAATTTTATGTGTCAAAATTATTTTAAATATTAATATAATGCAATTATAATATTAATATATATTTTTTATGTAGGCTTCAAAGGAGTCTATCAAGGAGTAGTGCCCACAATTTTGAAGCAAGGATCCAACCAAGCCATCCGTTTCTTCGTGATGGAAACATTAAAAGACTGG